ATGCACTCATTGACACATGAGAAACAATTGTTCGTGCTGGCCCTATATCGGGACTTTGTGTGTCCAGACGTCAGGTCTATCCTTTTCTATCTGTAGCAACTGGACTGAAACTCTTGATTTCTTTCTCATCCAATATTCCGTGGTTCCCATATAGATACCGGAGCAACCAAATAATATTCCTGATGGAAGGAAAAGCACATAGACTAGGAAGAAGCCAGGATGCCTGAGGAACCTGGTCTAAGGTCGGAAGTTGCCCTGTTGTGTGATAGGAGGAAAGTGATGTTTTCTGCCCGTATGTCAAACTATGTTTGCTACCTCTGGCTGCTTGAAACTGTGACGACTGGCATGTGAGGGGATAAGAAAGTGTTTTGTGGGGGCAGAGCAAGTACAGAAGTGCTTTGTGGTCATAGCAGAGGCTACTCCCCCCATACTTCACCCCAACTCAAAAGCGTAGGCATAGGAAAATGCATTCGTTTTTCCCTGCAAACAGCTCGGAGATGTGTGAGGCATTGCCAGCAGAAGCTGGCAGGGATCCCACACTCCGAGCCTTTTACAACCAAAAGAGCTTAGCAATTAGCAAAATAACAAAAAAAAAATGTCAAATGCATTTTTGATGCTCTGAAGTTGCTGAGATTTTAAACAAACAGTCTGGGTTGCTCCCACACGCCAGGAGGTCTCTGCATCAGCAACGTACCAACAGCACCACCGTACGGGGATCTCCAACCCCTGCAGCCCCCAGAATCTTGAGTCCATCTATACAGTTTGCTCTGCAGACAAGATTAGCACCATGGTGGGATTAATTTGCAGCAGTGCATTGATTTCATGGTTGCCAGCAACAGCATGTGTGATGTGAAGGTGAACTTTTTCTCCAAGGCTGGTCAGGCTACCTTCTGAAATCAGAAATCCCTAATGGGAATAGTTGGATGCCTGGACCCTTGCAGAAATACTCAAGGTCAAAGAGGCTGCGTGTTTATTAAACCTTTATAATGCTCTTGTTGGCATCCATACATCCCAAAACACTTTCCTTGTGAGTCTGGAGTCATGAGCCCTATTTGCCATTAGGAGAAGAAGAGGCACGAAGAAGGGAAGGCATGTGCAAAAGGTGCCTCAGCAGCCCAGTGACAGACACCTCAAGACTCTTTGTCTTTGCTCAATGTTCTGCTCTTAATGACAACTCCAATCTCCGTTGCTGGACTCTGGAACGTGTCTCAGGCAGCCTAGCCTTGCTTCCATATGCTCTGAAGCTCACTTGAATAACAAACCTAGATGTACATCCTCGCAGCGTGAGCTAGACCATAGCATGAAACTCTGTTAAGCATCTACAGATGTAGCAGCTGGATCCTATCTCTTCCTGCAGTTGAAGGCACCCCTGGAGCAGCGGGAATCATGTTTCCTGCTGCTGGGCCAGCGTCACGCCTGTCCACCCTGAGGCACGTGCACAGAAAAGTGGAAAACAGCTGGGAGTTTGGTGAGAAACACTTTGGGTTGAGATAGAGGATACACTGTGGCCTTTTTTCAGAAGCAGAGCAAAGCTTGTAGTCACTGACAAGGTTAGAAGAGCTACGCTGGCTCCTCCTGACTGCTAGCTATCCATCCATCTCCGTCGACATCTATATATCTACTCGTTTTTAAATCTTTCTCTCCCCTGATCTACCCATCTGTCTTCCTGTCTATGCAATCACATGCCTCATTTAGGATCCATGCTTCCTTTCTTGCAGACGAGTCTGTAATGCAACTTGCCTTGCTGCCATCTAGAGACTCAGTCTCATTTATCCGCTACCCGTTTTGCCTTGGGACACTTCAATGCTCCCGAGGCTGCTGATGTTCCCAGGAACACAACTGTGCAACCATTAGAAATTCCCACTTCGATTCCTAAAATTGGCCACTAAAATCCCGTACCACATATCCCACATCCTCAGCAGATTTGCAGACAGCACTGCAGACAGCACCAGCTCATTCACTGCACATGCACCAAACACATTCCAGGAGTGGAAAAGCAGCCCATTGCAACCTCTAAACACATACCTCAGAACATCCCAAAACGGAGCTACAAGCCACGTTCATGTTGAGCAGGCAATGGCAGACAGCACCAGCTCATTCACTGCACATGTACCAAACACCTTCCAGGAGTGGAAAAGTCAATAAGATTCCCTCTGCAGCCCATTGCAACCTCCAAACACATACCTCAGAACATCCCAAAGCGGAGCTGCAAGCCACGTTCATGCTGAGCCAGCAAGGCAGTGACCTCAGTTCAGGGCTGGGCAGCCTTGAAGGGCAGTTCCTCTTGTTCTTGCTCTGCATTCTGGCTTGAAATAAGGCATCCAAGACGGTGTTACACCTCTGAGCTCAGAGGCTGGAAACTCTGCAAGATCCCCTGATGATCTGGCTCTTTCAAGGGCTGGTGTTCATGCAGGAGCTTGGCTGAGCATGCAGAACTTCAACTTAGTTTCCTCTTTGTTGGGTTCTGGGTTTTGTTTTGGGGTTTTTTTCCTCTTCTGCTCATAAAAGATGTCCTCATGAAAAAAGGCAGTTTGCAATCGAAGTCTTAACACATCATCTCTGTCCCCACGGCCTCTTCAGACCACCTAGCCAAGCAGTTGACACAGCCCAGGAGATCAGATCAACTTTCTCTCGCTTTCGGAGACACTCAGTATCTCTGTCCAGACTTGTCAGTGCCCTTCTTGTCCTCAAATTTCCAACTCACGTTTACCACGGTTATCCAGCTCCTCAGCGTGATCCATGACACCATACTCTGTATCATGGTCCACCACCACTTTCCCAGCCTGACACCAGGCAGCTGAACCAGGATACAGCAAAAAATCTTTTTCCCTCCTCCCGCAACAGGAAGCTCCAGACCTGTGTCTATCAAGTATCTGCTTCGACAATATAAAATGAGTTAAAAAAAAAAGTATTTGTAGACATCCTCAGATTCCCAGGGGAAATACGTGGCCTTGTTCATGCAGCGAAATGAACAGGGGATTTTATAACACTGGGAAAACTAAAAAATGCCATGCACACATAATACTATGGACAACTGCATCTTAATGTGCATATAATAATTAGAACAGGGCACGTTTGCCATCTTCAGGAGTCGAGTGGTAACTGCACATAAATGTGCACAAGAACAGTGAGAAGCAACAATTTGATGTAAGGATATAGGAATTACTGGGTTCTTATACAGCCTCGGGCTGCAGCCAAGCAGGACTGGGGCACGGACAGGCTCTTAGCTGCGTGCATCTCTTTTACAGAACCGTGAGTCCTGGGCTTCACTGGCAGCCCTGATGCCATTTGAAAAAGAATGAAAAGAAGTAATAGCACTTGGAGAGTTTTACTGGCAACAAGTCAGGCTGCTGAGGATGAAAAGAATACTCCCTCTTGTTTATTGATGAGTTGCTTGAAGGAAGGAATATTTACTTCAAGGCCTGAGTGGATTTGATGGGGTGACCAGGTTATTCTTTCCCCTTGGCTCTTTTCTTCCGTAGCACAAGGAGCCAAATGCTACAGAGATAACTGTAAGGGATTAAAACAAGAAAAATACTCTCAAATATCTCTGAATAAGGAACACCAGAGTCTGAGAATACACTACCACATATCTTATCCATAAAATTTGGCTACAAATGAGGTAGTCTGCAAATACATGATAAAGCAAAAGTCAATAGACACAGAAAGGAGGTGTTGGGTTGGATTGTTCTTTTCCTTTTAAAGAGAAGTTCAAGAGTCCAAGAGGAAACACTTAAGGTTCCCATAGAGGAAATAAGATTTTCAAAATCATCCCTTCCACCAGATTCTCCGCTGATGTAAATCAGGGCAGTGCCATTAACTGCAGCAGACTTAGGCTGGCTCATCTTTCCTACCTCAGCCACTGATCAAGAGCAAGGATTAACCAACATGCCAGCACACCTTCCTTTCAATCTGAAAAAGTGCCTGGTGTCCTAAGCACTAAACTGCAGGAGAGCAAGTCCCTGCAGGCTGTTACTGCAAAGAACAAAGTTCCTGAGACGTAAGAATAGCCCTGAATAAAGTGATAAACCGTGGCGAATCCGATTTAGCAGAAAGGCCTGCCTTTATTCCCCTGGCATGTACTGAGAAGTGGCCAAAGGACGTGAGGTATGGGAGAGGTCTCTAATCAACCCACCAAAGCAAACATTCGGTCTGCGGTTTGGAATGTGGCTGAACTCACCCTCATCCTTGATGAAAAGTGGCATTTCTTTGACAAGCCTGAATTGTTTGCAGTACTCATTGATGGGAGTTCAAGGGTCGAAATATGTACCCAACCTATCCAGAGAGACTGGCAGACAAAGAGAAGCATGCCAAAGCACAGACAAACACACCACCAAACAAACACCAAAAAAAGCTATCATGACTGTCCCTTTGGTTTCAACACATATAAAAAAATTAAATTATATTTTCATAGACTACAGACCTTATGTACGAATAAGGGCCAATGAGCACCTGAATACCTGGAAGTGGCCAATGCACTGTGATTTGCCCAAATACCTTGCTACCACATGCCACGGGTGTCACGAAGACACTCACACATGCAGATAAATAGCTGGAATGTGTATTAAAAGAATATTTTGTCCTTGATTTAAACACAATAGCTCCACTCAGGGTAGCAATGGGGGTGGAGAGCCTTGCTCACAGTGTGTGATCATAGCCTTGCTGGCTCTGGGGAAATGCATAAGGGCCAGCCTTGTTCCAAAGAATTTGGGGTTTTTTTTCCACTCATGTGAGCACTTTGCCCAAGGGTAGGAGGGAAGGTGGGGGTGTAGTGGTGGAGAGAAGCTGCTCAAAGCTCCAAGAAACGGAGTCAGACAGGAGAGGCACCTAATGCAAATATCACCACCACAAACCAAGCCCTCCCTTGGTCCAGCGAGCAGCTTCGCTCAGGTGCCTTTGCGGGGTAACCTTCTGGGCATGCCCAATTGTTACCTCCCACAATATATAAGCTGCCCCACGAGGAAACAATCCGTATTCAGCACAAGAGAGGCTATCCCAAAATGAAGGCTTTCCTTGTGCTCCTGCTGGGAACAGTCCTGTGCTTGGACTCAGGTAAGACAGCGTGAAGAATGTGCCCCACATTTCTTCCAGCAAGGAGAAAAGCCTTGCGATGGGGTTTGGCAGTGAGGGGAGAAATACTGATGCAGTTGTCATATGAAGACTTTTGCTTTTTGATGGGATGTCCTGAGTATTGCATGAGAAAAATGCAAAGTCCCACCCTGCTCATGGTGTGACTCTAGTGCTGGGCAGAGCAGCTTCCAGGAAAAACTGAATTTACCTGAAATCAAAGTTATTTAAGTAAGACCATGTAGCTTTGTGTGTGTGCGAATTTTAAGTGGGGTGGGAGGATTGTTCTTCTTCTTCCCAGTCTACGAAAAGCGTAACATTTCTGCAAAGGTAAGTTTTGTTTCAACTTGTTTACTGACTCTTCATTTCATAAGTGGCCTCTGAAGCTGCAAAGATTGTCAGAAATTTAATGGGACAGAAAAAGGGATAATGTCATGGTGTGTTATTTTATAAACTGGATGGGTGGGATTCTGACACTATCAGGTTTTTTTCCAGCCTCACTGGGAACAAATGGCTTTATACGAGCTTTTCCCTATTCCCAGAGAGCAGAAGAAGCAGATCCAAGCAGACATGCTTCACAATCAGTAGAAGATGCTTAAGGAAATGACTGAGAAGGGTCTTGTAAAGTTCTGACCAGATCTTCTCCTCTGCCAGCTTCCATCAGGGTACTCTGAAATTTGACTTTCAGTGCACTAAAAATCAAATAAATGTGAGAACAGGGTGTATACCTACAGAAAAAAAATGAGGTTTGACTCCTTGCCTGTACGACTGCATCAGTCATGTACACTGGAATGGCTTGGACAGAGAGAAACTAAGTGTCTCATATAACTTCTTGTTCCTGCTCTGAATAATACTAATTTCTAAATAAGCCTTTTCTGTGTCATAAGAGTATTTTAGGCATTAGGATACGGGCTTGAGAGATTCATGATACAAGCCTCCTAGTCATGGAGTTAAAGTGCATATATATATATATATATATATATTAATAATTTAACTCTTGCCGTTTTGAAACTTCAGTGACGCACGTCCATGAGGGGCTGGAAACACATGGTGATCCATTTTTTAGAGGGAAGTGAACACCATGTTTGCACTTTGCTTTCTAAGAAGAGGTGATGGAAAGTATGTGTCATAAGTTGTTAAACTGAGACAACAGGCTGGGAGAGACCTTGAAAATTGCCTGTTACATCCCTTCCTCAGCCTCTTTTCCCCCTGGACTTTCCCTGTTTTGTCCAACCCTGTTGCCTCAGCTAAGGGTCCTAAATCCACCTGTTGAAATGGAACACTCTCACGTTATGCCAGGGGAGGTTTAGATTGGATATTAAGAAAAATTTCTCCACCAAAAGTGTTGCCAAGTATTGCAACAGGCTGCCCAGAAAAGTGGTGGAGTCACCATTCTTGGAGGTATTTGAAAGATGTGTAGGTGAGGTGATTAGGAATATGGTGTAGTGATGGACCTGGCAGTGCTAGATTAATGGTTAGACTTGAGGACCTTTTGGGTCTTTTCCAACCTAAACAGTTCTATGATTCTATAATAGAGACAGACAAATAATATCAACCTGTCCTTCTGGGGATTTTGTCCCTTCTTCCCAGCTCAGGATGTGGGAATATCACAAAAAGCCTGTTCCAAGCAGGGACTGAATTAGGCATTCCAAAGCAAGAGGAAGAAGCATTTGTGAAGCACTTTCCATTCACTGACGAGACTGGTCAATGAGACCAGCGATCCAGTTGTTCTCTTTTGGCTCCCTCACTGCATTGACTACACCTGAAACATCTTAAACACCTGCAAAATTTGACTCTCATTTCGAGCAAATGTATTATTCTCCACTGAAAATGGAAGAAAAACACTGTTTTCACTATAAGAGAGATGTTCTCTTCCTCTGAGAACCCACAGCCATGCTCCTGTTTCCCAGTGAATTCATGAAATTTGGCTCCCTGCAGAGCTTCAGACAGATTTGTGTTATAATCCCTCTTGGTCTCTTGCAGGTTCTTCTTTGCAGTGTTACAGCTGCACGTCACAGCTCAGCAACTCCAAATGTCAGACGAAAGTGGACTGCAAGGAGGGCGAACAGTGCAAGACAGATGTGATCAGTAAGGCAAAGCGGGGTTGGGCAATATCTTAGTTGTGATTTTGGAGCCAAGCGTGGTCCCAGCCTCAGGTGGCCAAGCCAGCCTTGCTTGTTCTAGCCACACCAGCTGGTGTGGAGCAGCAAAGCTCAGTGTGCAGCAGCAAGAGAAAGGCCATCTGGGGAGAGTGGGTGATAAAAAGCTTCCAGGTTACTTTCATGTTAAGTAGAAATGACAGAAGATGTTTTCCCTTGGTGGATAGCACCCTTGGTAGTGGTGCTGGCCATCATCAAGTCCTCTCCTTACAGTACCCACAAGAGTGTGATTACAGAGTCATTTTGGAATGTGCATGCTGAATCCCAAAAATTCCTCAGAGTTTGCCAGTAGATCACGCTAAAAACTGGGCTGTAAGGAGAATATAGTTCCTGGAATGAGTGTCAGGAGGGCGCAGCTGCACTTGACATGGCAAGTAACTACCTGCAAATGTCTCTCTCTGATACAAAATTAGTTTTATTTCTCTCTCACAATGCCGAAAATTATTTGCTTACAGGGGCAATAGCTTAGTTTATAACTTTGAAAAATTTGGACCCTGACTTAAAATGTGAGGGGCTGAGTCTGGTGAAAACTGGAAAAGAAGTTAGGAGGAGCATTCAATGACAGAGCTGACTTCATGTGAATTCAGTGAAAAAGATAGAATTTCATCCACAGCCAGCTCTGAATGCAACTATCTGTGTATCTCTGGGTGATAGATTATGATATAATTGTCCCATTCTAGATGTGAGGGAAAAAAAAAAAAACAATGTTTGCCCTGTCCAGGTGTGTGGTGACAGACTTGGGGCACAAAACCCATCAGTGATGTGTTCAAAACTCATCTCTGTCAGGCAGCTAATGAAATACCTCCAGCAGGCATTGTCCTTGCTGGAAATGTGTAAATCCATGGCCATGTATTCACAGGCAAGAGAGCCAGCATGTTGGATAACCCACTGGCCTTACGCACTAAAATTTCATATGTCAAAGGTATAGTGCCTGGAATAGATTATGCAAGATCAAGAGATCTTCTGAAGACCATAATCTGCTGGTAACCAGCAGTTACTGAGTGACTGGCCACAGAAAAATGGTCTGTACCTCTCAGAAATGAGTCAAACTCTAACTGTTATATGTGATGTAGGGATAGCCGTGTTTCCTTTTTCATATGTCAAAGGTATAGTGCCTGGAATAGATTATGCAAGATCAAGAGATCTTCTGAAGACCATAATCTGCTGGTAACCAGCAGTTACTGAGTGACTGGCCACAGAAAAATGGTCTGTACCTCTCAGAAATGAGTCAAACTGTAACTCTGTTATATGTGACATAGGGATAGCCATGTTTCCTTAACTTCCCCGGCTGTTGAAAGGCTTCATGCAGCAAAGATATATGGGGTACAAATAAAGATTAACCCACCTGTTTCCTCCTCATCTCTTAGTTACTTAGACTCTCCAACAGAGGTGTTAATGATTACTATAATTATTAATATAATCATTAGTCTTTCTGTAGTGAGTGCTGTTTTAGAAACACCAGGGAACTATGCTGTGGAATACACGACCTCAAGCAAACACTTGGGGATTGAAAACCTTTCACTTCTGTTGACAAATTAAAACCCCCAAAATACAACTTGTTACAGTAAAGTGTGCAGCTATTTACACTCCCTTCCCTCCCCGAGAAGTGAGTTTGGAAAAGAAAAGTATCTCATTATTCAGTTCCGTGAGGCTTGGCTTGCATTGAATCTTTGTAGTAATGCTCCTGTTTTCTTTCCAGGGGTTGTAGGGCTCTTCAACATCATCAGCAAGGGCTGTGACTCATCATGTGAAGCGTCCTATCAAGACTTCAGCGTAGGCAACAGGAATATCTCCTGCTGCAGCACCAGCCTCTGCAATGTCAACGCAGCAGGCAGCGTGAGGTCCAGCTATGGGCTGGCAGCAGGGATAGCAGCCAGCCTGCTCTGGATCTCCTTGAGCAACCGACTGTGAGAAGCGAAGAGGACTCCCACAACCAAAGAAAGTCTTGGAGCAACCCCTCTAATGACAGGAATTGTAAGGGGGAGCAAAGTGATGCATTGGGCACACAGCAGCCTTGGAGGTGATGGCAGATCTTTGCCATATGATGGCTCCTTCATTACTGTAACTGTATTGCTGTAGTGCTACCAGATAGGAATTTATGTGTGCATTATTACTGCATTAACGCCTGAAATATACTTATTTCTGAACCAAGTGTGAGTGTGTTACCTGGGTATCACTTATTCCTGTAGCCCCGCAGCCAGCAGCAGCTGCAGGTGGGTGTGTGGCATGCCTGGAATATGATTGAACATTAGTTCTATCTTGCACGTTTCCATGCAATGATGGTATGTGCCGAGACGTGCCATGGCAGAGCAGAACAGAGGTGGCAACTCTATCTCCAAAGCTTGAGGGACTCTGCCTTACGACAAACTTTGGAGGACAAATACCCCAAGAAAAGGTGTGAAGAGCAATCACACCTGAAAGGGTGTAACTTAGAGAAGCTGAGACTTTGCACCTTGCTAGCTAGCACACAGGACAAAAGCAGTTCTCCCCTTTTAAAGATGTCCCTGCTTGCTGCAGGGGGTTGGACAAGATGACCTTTAAAGGTCCCTTCTAGCCCAACTCTGACTCTCTGATTCTTTGTGAAAACAGCCATTCACCTGCCTTCCCTTAGCTGTACCACCCTTGGGATGGTGGGCAGGACTGCAGATCCAGGTATCTGGAGCACTATGGTGAGAAATAATCATTGGAGCGAGTTTTTTCTTGGTGTCCTGGTGAATCAGTCCTATTTTGGGATTGCCAGCCTCCAACCTGGCTGTAGTGGCAAGCCCTGAATGCCGCTATCTCCCACAGGCAGGTTCTCAAGCTTTGTTCTCCAAGTTCCTCCTTGATTGATTCCCCACGCTGCAGCTTGGGACACAAGTCCTGTCACAAGGTTGAAGAGGTGTTAATCGTAAAGGTTGTGTGGGGTTGCCTAGCAGAGAGTGGAGAGAGGAGAAAGTAAACATCAGAGCTCATATTTTCCCCTCCTGGGGATCATGTAGGTGAGCAGACACTTGTGGGCACACACTCACTTCCACTTCCAGGTGAGATATAGTCAGTGAGTGGTGGGGTGGAGTCAAGTGTGGGGAAAAGATGAAGGAAAGAGCAGAGGAGCTAGGGAAAGGCATGGGGCTGTTTCCTCCTGAGATGCTCTCAGATCAAGGCTAGTAGGATGAGACTGGTGTTTCCTTATTTGTTGAGTTCATGAAGATACCCACAGAGTCCTTTATTCCCTTTCCCACCACAACAATTTCCCTTCTTCACCCACTGAGCTTTCCCCCTTCCTGGAACTCCCTGCTGAAGCCAGAGTGGCTTTCTCCATGTGTAGAAGGTTTGGTTCACATCTGATGAAGGAGCATCTTAGTGTAATCATCAATTTTTTCCCTCCTTTACCAGTACAATGAATATGGCAACCATGTAAGCTTCAAATATGTGACAAACCAAGCTCTCTCTGCTGCTGATACCAATGCGGTGTTTTAACATCTCTCTTTTATAGTTATAGCCCCTCTACACAGTTATAGATTCTAAATTATGGTTTGCCTTTTCCAGATAATTTATTTTATGGATATAAACTAGAGTGCTGCCACCTTGCATTGGGAGATCCTGTGCAGTGTTTGGCAAAGGTAGCAGAGAAAATACTGTTCAAAGCTGCCTGAAAGAAACTCTAAGACCTCTAAGCAACATATATGTGAAGACACCTGAAAAATAAGGTAGAAAGGGGAGGGAACACAGTTGGGACAGCTGACCCCAATCAACCAGAGAGACATATTCCATACCATACGTCATCATGCTCAGCATGTAAAGCTGGAAGAAAAAGAAGGAAGAGAGGGGATGTTTGGAGTGAGGGCATTTGTCTTTCCAAGTCACCATCAGGCATGTTGGAGCCCTGCTTTCCCGGAGATGGCTGAACATCTGCCTGCTGATGGGAAGTGGGGAATGGATTCCTTTCTTTGCTTTGCTTGTGTGTACAGCTTTTGCTTTACCTGTCAAACCATCCTTATCTCAACCCACGTATTTTCTCACTTTTCCAATTCTCTTCCCTGCCCCACCTGGGGCTGCATGGGACTGAGCTGCCAGCTGGGGTAAAGCCACCACAACGCTGCTATTGTGAAAGAGAAAAGCACATAAATCTTTGGGAACACAAGGCATTAACGAGCTGCTAATTGTAGGAAGCAGGGAAGGGGTTTCCCAGAAGGAACATCCAGAATGAACCACCCTCATATGAGTCAAGTCTGGTTCTTGGCAGAGGGAGGATATGGGACATGTGGGGTGATTTATTCTGGCTTTTGCAAACCTCCTGAATCTCAGTCACTGAGAAGGGGGGTCATCCACCTGTACATCTCCCAGCCAGGCTGTTTTCTGCATGGATGTCCAGCTTCACGGCCTCTCCAGTCCGAAGCTCATGTTACACTGTAAGGTCCTTGACAAAACACTGCCCTGTGCCCATTTTCTGAAATGATTCCAAGGCACTCAGGCATGTCCACATCCAGTGGCCTTTCTCAACAAGGAATTTGGCTATGATGGCCCTTTGTGGAGACTGGGAGTTTAGGAAATGGCCAAACCGTGTCAGCCGGCACCAGAACCATGGGAGTCCCTAACGGGTATTGTGTGTGACACAGCCTCTTCCAGCTTCTGGAGAGGTCAAACACATTCAGTCTGGAAAATAAGAGATATATAAAAAATCTTTAGCATTAATTGGGCTGTTTACCTGTGTTACAGCATATTGGTCCTATATGGCAATGATGTCTACTTGCTGGACCACGGTGTTTAGGCTTTTCTTGCTGGAACCAGGAGTTGACTTTGCCATGCTCTGGTGGTAAAGATATGATGCCTAGACCCTTACAGGCTGAAGAAATTATTCCTCTTCCCAGTTTCTTCTCTGTACATGTTCTGGAAGGAGTCCACAATTAACTGCTGAGTGATTCTCCCCTGGATTTATACGGAGATATATCCTCTCTGTGGATGTACCTGGAGTTCTTGCATGCAGTGATGGAGATGGGGGAAGATTAGAGAAGGTGCAAAGGGGAGAGGCCATGGCTGGGATAGATACAGTAAAGGGCAGCACAGCAAATCGCTTGGATACGATGTGGTGCTCACCAGTGGAAATTGCTGCCTCTTGACGGATGCCTGGCAACAGCACTTGCAATAGCACAAAACCACATTCTCCATCCAGGTCACTGACATTCGGCTTCCAAAACAACCCTCTAAATTCTAGGAAGGATTAGAAGGTGGCAAAATGGGGTGGATAAATGACTCAGCCATGGGTCAGAACCTGGGCTGGGCCAGGGCAGGACCAGGAAGAGGACTGTTTTCCCAAGCACCATGACTGCACATTGGCAGAAAGACTGGCAACCACTCCTGCCTTGTAAACCCCTAACAAACATGAACAAGACTCGGTTCCTCCTGCTCTGATCTGCACCCTCTGCCAGCAACATGCTCTATTGCTACATCTGATCTGGTATCACGCAATCATGCAAGCCCCGACTGAAGGTCGATTTACTCTCCAGGTGCTTAGAAAGAGGCCTAAGAGCTGTTTGTTGGGTGACATACAGGCACATTTACTATCTTTTTTTTCTTCTGAGGCAAGATTCTGCCTGACATTGCTGGTTGAGTAGTTTTATCAGTTTATCCTATCCTTTCCACACTTATAAAAAGGCATAGAATTGAGAACAGGCTCTTTAAATAACTCAATACATCATAGATGCAAGAGATTTCTATTCTTCCAGGATCAAACTGTGGTTCATTTATTTAAATAATATATAGCTGGACAATAAAATGGATGATTTCTGATTTGTTTGTTTGTTTGTTTTTCAAGGGCAGCAGTTGCACTTCTCCAAGGCTACAATTGCATTTTGGATTGAATGTAAGCATATAATTCTGCAGTGAGGTTACCTCTTAAAGATGGGAAAAGTAAAGCAACTCTTACCAAAAGTAACTGCTTTGGTATGATTTTTGTGATAGGAAACATTGCAGGCGTACATTCAGAGTAAAAGAAAATTGTTGTTTATATTATTGCTGTTGATGCTGCATTTGCTACTGGTAGTATTAGCACTTATTATCTCTGAGGATAGGGATTAGAGCACAGAGTATTTCCTATGGCCCAGTAGAAGTTACATCCAGTGCCTGTTCTGGTCTGAAAAATGTCACCAAGGTTCCCTAAATTCTACCCAGTTTACGACAGATGGTTAAATCCACTTCATTACACTGGAGAAAGTGTTTAAGGACCAACAGTTCCTTGCTCTGCTCCACATTTCCTTCATGGCCTACAGCAAGTTACACAGCATCTCCATACCGCTGCCTTGTATAGATGTTATCAGGTCCAATACATCACAAGATGCTCAGATAGTGGCTTTAATGGGGCCAAGGGAGAGACTTAGGCTAAAAATAAGCTCAAATAGTCAGCCAGCATAACAGAGTTGGTGAAGGATTACCCGCTACCAACCCACCTTTTCCTGCTCTGAATTATGCACACATCGTTGTGCAATGAGGTTTTCTCATGGCCGAAATAGACCAGAGAGAATGCCTGAAGTTAGCTCTGCTCTTGCCAGCTAATAAGCCACTGGACAGTCACTAAAAGCAATCAGAAGACCTGCCCTTTGACTGAAGAACGTCCCTAAAGTAACTGTACCTGCCACACACCCAGGTCAAGCTGGCTGGACAAGGCTGGTGAAGCCAAGTTCATCCCATGGCATCTTGACTTATTCTGCCCCATCTCGTAATTTGACAAATCTGTGTGTCAGAGCTATCCCTCACCAGTTCATTTCTGACCTTACCTTGAGTTCTGTTAATGCTTTTTTGAGCTAAATCACAAGGCTCCTTGCAAACCAGATGCTGCACCCCTGACTACTCTGTTGATTCTCTCGATCCACAGCTCCTATTGCAGCCCTAATTTCCTCCCTACATGATTTCTCTGATTTCTCATCGACAAGCCC